ACTAGATTACCTCCAACAAGAGTGCAAATTCCTGATGTAGATCTCCTGTCATCTAGGCACCCCACCCAATCAGCATCTATGTAAGCCTCTAACTTCAAATGTCCATGGTTAGCAAACAGTATACCTCTACCTGGGTGTCCCTTCAAATGGAAAATTATCTTGTTAATGACCTCCCAGTGCTGAACTTGTGGGGCATGCATGTATTGACTCACCACACTCACTACATAAGAGATATTTGGTCGTGTCATATATAAATGTAGCAACCGGCCCACCTTTGATACCTTCCAACATCCTTTACTAGGTCACTTTTTGAAGCATTTATCCTGTGGTTCTGATCCCCTGTAGTAAGTCCAAAATATACATCCTCTATGAAATGAAAATCCCATGCTTGGACCTTGCCACCTCAATGCCCAGAAAATGCTTAAGCTCCCTAAGATCCTTAATCTCAAACTCTTTGTGCAAGTTCTTCTTCAAGGTATCAATCTCACTCAGATAATTTCCTATGACTACAATGTCATCCACATACACTATCAGTATTGACACCAATGATCCCCTCCTTTTCACAAACAGAGTATGATTAGATTGAGTTTGAGTATAGTCAAATGCAATCAATGCACTTCTAAACTTGTCAAACCAAGCTCTGGGTGATTGCTTCAAACCATATAAAGACTTCTTTAATCTACCTACCTTTCCTTTAACCACATCACTGCCAAAACCAACTGGAAGATCCATGTACACCTTTTGTAGGTCTTCATTAAGAAAATCATTCTTCACATCAAGTTGGAAGAGGGGCCAAGAGTATGTAGCTGCTAGTGATAGGAGAATCCGAACTGAATTCATCTTTGTCACTGGTGCAAAAGTCTCCAAGTAATCTACACCATAAGTCTAAGTGTACCCTTTTGCAACCAGCCTCACCTTGATACCTTTCTATACCTCCATCAGCCTTGTACTTCACTGTATAAACCCATCTACATCCAACTATCTTCTTTCCATTAGCTAAATCCACAATCTCCCATGTCTGATTGTTAATCAATGCTTTCATTTCCTCTTACATAGCCATCTTCCACTCAGGTTTGGAGAGAGCCTCACTAACACTCCTGGGTATAGACACTGAGTTGAGGGAGGAAAGGAAGGCCTGGTAAGAAGAAGATAATCCACTGTAGGAAAGATAGTGTGAGATGCAATGAGCAGTACACTTCCTCTTCCCTTTTCAGAGTGTAGTAGGGAGATCTAGGTCATCTGCAATGGTGTTAGGAGTAGGGGTAGTAGTATTAATAGGAACTAACCCATTAGAGGAAACAAGAGGCCATACCTAGGTTTGTGTCAGTCAAACTTGGAATCTCTGATGAGCCAATAGGGAGTGATGTGGGTTCCTTTGCTGTGGAATCAACCTCCTTGTGCTGTCATAGGCACTATTGTGTAAAACATTGAGCGACAAGACGTAATGAAGGTGGCAAAGTGGGTGGAGTAGGTGGGTTAGACATTGGAGTGGACAAAGGAGCTAGAATAGGAAGTGGTATAGATTGCTCACTTCCTTCCCTAAAACACTCCTGAGAAGAACCCTCGAGAAAAAAGTGTGGGCTCGAAGAAGGTGACATCCATAGTAACATGCTGATTCCTAGAGATTGGATCATAACAACAATAACCCTTCTGATTTCTTACATAACCAAGGAAGATACACTTCTTTGCCTTAGGGTTTAGCTTCAAGCAGTGAGGATCAAGAATATGGGAAAAACATACACATCCTAAAACCCTTAAAGGAATATGGAACATCTCCCCCTCGGGCAAAAGAAGGTTGAACGGAGTGTTGTATCCAAGAACATGAGAAGGTACCCAATTAATAAAATAAATGTTGTAAGGACTACATCACCCCAAAAACGAACTGGAACTATAGAGTTCACCGTCATGCTTCTTGCTACTTCCATAATATGTCTATTCTTCCTTTCTGCTACACCATTCTGTTGTGAAGTGTATGTACAACTGCTCTGGTGGACTACTCCATGCTCCAATAGTTATGATGTTAGGTTTTTCTCAAAGTATTCCCTAACATTATCTAATCTAAACACTTTCATTCGTCCCCTAAACTGTGTCAATACCATTCGATGGAACTGTTGAACCAAAGAAGGCACCTCATCATGGGATCTCATCGAATATATCCAAGAGTATCGAGAAGAATCATCCACAAACAGAAGAAAATACCGATAGTCACCCATCTAAGAAATATTATATGGTCTCCACACATCAGTATGAACAATATATAAAACAGAAGAACATCTTTTATTGCTTGCTTTAAAAGAATGTCTACAATGCTTTCTAAGTTGACAACCCTCACACTCCAAGCTAGATAACTGATAGACTTAAAACAATTTTGGAAACAAAAAATGCAAAGAAGCAAAAGACAAGTGTTCTAACCAATTATGTCGAAGCATAATCTGATCCATTGACTTTGACTCATTGTTCCCGCTGACACGATGACTTTGATGACTAGGAAGCGTATCAAGAACAAAGATTCCATTCACCTCACAACCACTCCCAATCGTCCTCTTTGATTCCAGATCCTGCAAAACACAATGGCTAGGAAAAAATATCATTGAACAGCTCAAATTCTTTGTCAAGCTACTAACAGATAAAAGATTAGTGCTTAGTCTAGGGACATGAAGGACAAAAGCTAGGTTAATGGTATTGTTAATCATGACAGACCCTTTCCCAACAATGGGAACATGTGATTCAGTTGTGGAAACTTTATCTCTACTAGAGTAGAGGTGGTATGAGGAGAAGATGGTGGAAGTATTGGTCATATGTTATGAGGCTCCCGAGTCTATAATCCAAGGAGGTTCCTCCTTACTTGTAGTGGATGCATAATTTGTAGTGGCATGTGAACTACCCATATGTGCAAACAAAGTAGAATGGCTACTTCCTAATCCTCCTGTACCTTGCTATCCACCTAATAATGAGCTGGAACTGGTTGTATCCCTCTAACTCAAAAACTGCCTATTATCTCTCCAATTCGGCCCTCATTGCAGCTGCTAGAACAGACTCTAGAGAAGTTGTAGTAGGTGGTCTGATAAATCACCAGTCATTGCCATATTCACATCTCCCTTCTTGTTTTTGAGCCGACTCAGTATAAGGTGTGGGTAAAGCTTCCAACATGTATGTCTAGTATGTTTAGGTTTCTTACAATATTCACAAATCAGGTCCTTCTTGTCCTCATTCCTCAATTCATTTCCACCCTTATCCCCACTTAACTTAGGCTTCACTGTGCTAATCATAGATGATTGCTCAAGGCTTGGGTTTCTCATCATCACATTCCTCTTACTCTCGTCTCCAGACATAAAGGCATATGCCTGAGAGAGAGTTACAATGTCTCGGGAAAGAATATGCCGTTGTGTAATGTCATATTTACTGTTAAATCCTGCTAGAAACTCAAATACCCTATTCTTCTATCAGCTTCTAATAAGTTGCTGTATCTTTGCTACTTTCCCAAACCACAGTCTCCAAACGATCTATCTCTTGCCATAAGGTTTTGAGGGCTGAAAAAATAAATTACAATAGACTTATCTCCCTACCTAGTAGCAATCACCTTGTTTCTCAACTAATAGGTTCTAGCAACATTCTCACTCTGTGAATAAGTTTCTGCTACTCCATCCCAAATCTCCTTAGTTGTGTTAGCCCATAGAAAGTTTTTACTTATATGGGGTAACATGGAATTGCACAGCCAAGTCATCACCATGTAGTTTTGTAACCGTTGGGAGTAGTTAGTCTTAGATTTCTTCTCTTCACCAGTGAAATACCCCAATTTTCCACAAACTCCAATGGCCATTTTTGTAGATTGTGACCATTCTAAGTAGTTTGTACCATCCAATTTGACTGCAGTGATGGTCTCAACACCTCCTCCACTTAGTCCCATTTCACCTACAGATTTGTTTTCAACTCCACAACTCTCCGTAACTCCCAGAACAGATTAGGAAATCAATTTGAGATGAAAAGAAAGATTTTTATCTCCTTTAGAAACCTTAAACACCTTCTCTATAGGAGCGGGAGAAGGAAGAGAAGAGGCTTCCGCTCTCTCTAGAGGCCTCCAAAAAGACTGAGACTTGAATTGCCCTCTTCAAAAAACCTCTAGAAACCCTAAAAAGTTAGAGCGCCCCTTCCTAGGTCAAAATTGAAGAGTCCTACTAAATCAGGATTTTTCCCCTTTCTTCATTTCTTCCTGATTTTAGTGATAAACCCTAGACCTGCTACAAGGGATTGCAAATCCATCAAAAAATCCAAAAACTGGGCTTACTTGAAGTCCTCAATCAACACTTTACTTCATCATGCAGTCGGCCGATCTAGGGTTGCATGATGGAACAGCTCAAGCGATCCTTAAACTTGCTTTGATACCAAGTAGAAAAGTTCAAAAATTCTGTTTTGATTTAAAATCTGTGAAGGAGAGAAAGAAAGAAAGAAAAAGAAGGTTTGCGCAGAGAAGAGAAGAAGAGAGAAGTTGAAGAGATTGGGGAGAAGCCAAAAAAATCAGATCTGGCCGCCCCTTTCATTAGCTTATATACTCATAAATAAAACTGAATACAAAGACAAGTATGCCCTTAGTAAGTTGGCTACTTGTAATTGATCAAAAAAAGTTGGCTACTTGTAAAAACTAAGTAAACACACAGTCTAAAACATAAACTAATGGGCCTTGGGCCCAATAATTCTCTTAACTATGCTTTGTAAATAAAAACAAATGTTATCAGCCCAAAACTCAAAACTAATTTAACCTACTTAAACTACAATCTAAATTTTGGGTGTGCAATGCAAAAATCATGCCATCTTTTTTCTTTCGGTGTTCATTATTTTTTATTTTTCATCTCCTCATTAAAATCTCTTGGTAGCAATACATTCTGTTCCTTAACAATGCAGATGAACCTGTGCATATATATGTTTCAGACTTTCAGTAACTTCTGTGCCAAGAAGTGCTCATTGATTCCTTGTGTCTATATTGATTTTAATGCATCTTGTAGGTGGTTAGTATTTATGGGGACTTTCTCTCAACTTTGGAGGCTCATAGCACTCAGGTGTCAGAAAAAGGGATCCTGCAAATCTTGTTGGATTTGAAATTCATTGCTGACATTCTCTCTGGGGGTGATTTGAAGAAGAACGAGGAGTCATCAAAAAATGCTAAGCCAAAGCTGCCTTTCAGATGGAAGCAAGATCAGAATCAGCCCAACTCTGCCACTAGAGACAGTGTCATGCAGTTGATAAATCGCCTTTCTCAAATATTGGATCCTATAGACTGGCTTACGTGAGTTAATATTTTCCTTCTCCCATGGATCATCTGCAAGTACCATGTGGTGATGTACCTAACGATTGGTACCATCTCACCCTTCAAAAATTATATTATATTTATTCTCTAATAATTCTCTGTAAATTATTCCATCTTGGTTTACAAATTTATGGGTTTAAATGCTATGAAAAATAAAAAAAATGAGATAATTCATTTCACATGCCACTCAATGTAAATTTGGCAAATAAAACACTGCAAGCCAGGATGAGATGGTGAAAGGAAGTTGCATCTATGGAGATTTGTGGGCTAAAAGTTCATTTGATCAGATGCTCAAAACCCTATTGTGATCTGTTCAAGGAATACATTTATGGTTAAGCTTATTAGATCAATTAATTTTTAGGAATCTTAATCTACTTTAGTACTTTTGTTATCTTTTAATATGCTCGTTATTTTCTGACTTCATTGACATGCAGATACGAGCCATACCTCTGGGAGAATGAGAAACAGTGTTACCTAAGACATGCTGTCCTCTTTGGGTTCTTTGTACAACTCAATCGTATGTACACTGATAGCATGCAAAAATTGCATACTAATACTGAGTCCAATATAATGCGGTGTTCCACAGTTCCACGCTTCAAATACCTTCCAATCAGGTTAGTGCTTATATTTCTTTAAAATAGGTTTGTATCTTTTGTTATCTTTTTGGCTTATTATATATCTAATATACTCCTACACATGCTGACTTGGACCTGTTTTTCTCTAAGTGACATATATGGACTATTTTAGAATCTTGCAACAGACTTAGAAACTTGCCAAGCTTATGAAATGCAATACTTGCACCTCTAACGTTCCTTGTATAACAAGAGGCTGTACAAAGGGAACTTAAAAAAAAAACTGCTCCAGCAGTGCTAATAAACTATACTATTGCAATTTACAAAAAGATTTTCATAATACAAAAGACACACTATGAATTGAGTCCTTCCCTTAAATGGCATATGAACAGCCAGCCATGAATGAAGCCTGTGTAATATCATCTGAAAAGCTTTTTCCACTTAACATTCCCTATCCTTGAATATTCTGGAATTTCTTTCCTGCCATAGACTCCAGAAGACAGCTGCTGGGATCTTTTTCCATATGATTTCACGTCCCTTGCTCAAGCCATTAATTCTTCAGCCATTTAAGAAATTGACCACATATTGTGGACAACACCCCTTAATGGCAAACATGCCCATAAGCTTCCCCCAAATAGTCTGTGCAAATCTGCAATGCATCAGAGAATATGGTTCATTGATTCATCAGCCTCCTCTAACAGCACACTTTTGGTTGATGATACAGCCACACCCTTAATTATTTCTAGTGAGGAATCTGTTCAATTAAGCAGTCCATACACACACACACACAAATATCACCTTGGATGGAATGTTATTTTTTTTATCAATAACAGAAATTTTATTAATAAAGAACAACAATTACAACATCCAAGAGGAGAGGTAAACTCTCTTAGCCCTCCCCAAGGACAACAAAAACACAAAAATTACATCCAAGCCCACATAGATTGAGCCCTTCCTACCCTCTGTTTTGCTAAGGCATCTGCAAAGGAGTTAGCACTCCTTTTGATCCACTGAAGTCTTACTAACTTGGATGGAATGTTTTTACATCAAACTGTGTTAATTGGAACCTCCTGTCCATCTATAATTGCCAAATTATCAGAAAAAGATTTAAAATGAAACTTTCCTGACTTCTCTCACATCCATATCCTCCTTGCAGCAGCTCCACCATAGAACCAACTTCCCAACCATTTAATTTCTTCTGAATTGTGGTGCCCACACCAAGCTTCTCTTTTATACTGTAAGCAATCTGCCTATCTCCTTGCTTGTCAACTGTCAACTCAAATAAATTTGGAAAGCTTCTATTAATGGTCTGTCCCCACACCATGCATCCCTCCCAATGTTTTAAAAGGTGTATGCCTAGAGGTGCACCTCTAGGTGAGGCACCCTAAAAACACCGAGGCATATGTTGGAGGAGCTGATGCCTCTGAGGACTGAGGTGTATGCCTCAGATGCACTTTTCCATGAGGCAGACGCTTCTGGTATGCCTCATGCACCTTTTTCCCGCTTCATATAGAAAGAAAGAAAGCAAGAAAGAAAACAAAGAAAAGAAAGGAAAAGTAAAGGGAAGGGAAGGCTAATGTTATTCATCTTCATTCCTCTTAATACAGGACATCTTACATTAAAAAGAAAGAAGAAAAATCACCTGTTCTTCTGTTGCTCTTTTACCTCCCGTCTCTGGTTGCACTATATTTCAGCACTGGGGATGGCTTGGGTAATGCCTAACACAGTGTTGGACCTTCTTTGGGGATGGGAAGTTCAAGGTTTTTCAAAGATGCAAGCAGTGTTCGGGTCTCTGTTCCGGCTGCAGTGATTAGCACTATCTGGACTGAAAGAAATAGCAGGCTTTTCCAGAAGGCCTCTAAAGAAGTGGAGCAATTAATTGCTTTTCTTTTGGGAAGCTGGTTTCCTGGGTTTCAGCTGCTAAGGGGCTTCAGCGGCATAACCTGGGGGTGCTGTTGAGGTCTAGAAATCTGTGGGAGCTGTAATTTGTTGTACTGTTGTTGGTTGTGCTCGGTCAGGGTATTTTCCTTGGGGGACCTGTTGCGTTCCATCTGTTTTTTAATAATAGTTACTGTACCTATTAATGAAATTGATTCTGTTATTGATAATAAAAAGTTACTTTACCCATTTCAAAAAAGAAAAAAGAAAGAAGAGAAAAAAATCATCCTCCTTTTTCTTTTTCTTCCTGTTCCTCCTCCTCCTTTTCTTGAGGGGGCTAATTTCTCCTTGTACTCGGGAGACTTATGCCTCTCGCATTATGAATTACACCTCACACTTCCAAGTAGTGGAATGCCTTGCATCATGCCTCCACATTTTAAAACATTGACTCCTCTAGATTTTTACTGTTTTGCCATTACCCACCTTGTATCTCACCCCTCTATTGAAATGGTTATAAGCTTTCTCAATTCATTCTCATACTGAACATCCATAAAACTGGCTGAAGACACCTGGATCCTAACCCAAGTATCTTGATCCATATTTATCGTGGATCACTATTCTCCAAAGACTTCCATGTTGCTTGGTTTCTCCCCAAACCTCCAAAATCATTTCTCCAAGAGGGCATAGTTTATATCCTTTAATCTTCTCACCCCAAGCCACCCCAATTTATTTGGTCTGCATACTTTGCTCCAATTAACCATGTGATATTTCTTCTCATCTCTCCAGCCCCGTAAAAAATCTCATTTTCTTTTCAATATTAGCTGCCATTAGGGGTGTCAGCGGACCGGTTTGGGTTGGACCCTGTCCAAATCAAAATCAATTTGGATGGACCAGTCCAGACTTAATGGTCCAAAGTATTTATTGGATTGGATTGGACCTAGTCCATCCGTAATGGATTTATATTGGATTGGGTCGGATTGAACCAATGTCCACTCCATTGATAGAAAATATGAATACAAATGCCAATGGACCAGGTTTGGGTTGGAAGCAATCTAATTAACACTAATTTGAACAGATTGGATGGTCCAGACATTAAATTGGACTGGTCCAAAATGGTCCAAAGTATTCATCGGATTGGATTAGGCCTAGTCCATTTGTAATGGACTCATATTGGACTGGATCGTATTGGACTGAATTTGTTCCAATTGACACCCCTAGCTGCCAAACTAGCTGGTGGGGGATACAGAGAAAGCAAATTGTTATGTTCCTAAATGGGATGTAATGTGAATTCTGTCTACTTCAAGGGAGACGAAGACCTCCAAAGAGATAATTCACAATTAACAAATGATAATTCTCATAATAATTTAATTAAGAGGAGAATTACAACTTAAATAGGCTCTTACTGACCCATTGTTACAACTATCTCCTAAATACTTGGCCCTACTAATGTATGTGTCCAACTCAATGCACCCACTCTCTACATAACTACCCACTATGGACACAATTAATTGACTCAACTTGGACACAGTACACGGACTCTAACGGACTCAACATAAACACTTCAATCTCAAGCACCTTTATAATTCCTAGATAGATGAACCCACTAACGGGCATGTGACACAAATACATAGGCATTGATACCAATACACCCTTCAATAAAGTCAGTTTGCCTCCATTTGACAGATACTTTGCTTTCCAAGAAGCTAATTGGTCATTCATATTGGGAGAACTATTCTTATTACTCACTTGAAGTCCTTTCTTTCTCCTCCCCATATTGGTTGGTTTCTTTCATTTTCAATTTGGCTTTAGGACTTTGGCCCTCTTATGGTGGACAGAGACTTGATTAATGCTAATAGATGTGGCAAAGGTGAATCTTTGGGCCTTGGAGATTGACCTTCAGGATTAGGGAGAAAAGATTTCTGAAGGGGAGACTGGCTAGTTGTTTTCTGAAGGAGCATGGTGTTTTTAATCAGTTTTACTAATAAAAAGAAGCATCATACAATGCCCCCAAGAGCAAGAGGACCCAAATCAAGCTTCAAATCAGGCACTAATGATAGACAATAAACAATCCTGTCTAACTGATGCTTGTAGCCAATCCAGGTGGAACAGCTGGCTCATGAAAAAAAACAGATATGTCCATTTCTAAAACTATCAGCTAATGCATTAGTGAATCTTCCATTTGAAAAAAAAATGTACACTCTGGAGATCAAAGACAGCCTCCTAAAATGGTGAAGCAGCAGCTGAGGCCGTTCCTTTTTGCCTCTCATCCAGCTGATAACTAGGGAAGCAGGATTCATGTAGCCAACCCCATATAGGTGTGATAAAGCTTGAATGATGATGATCTAGCTGATAACTAGGATCCATTACTTGGTATAATGGTAAAATATTGGGTTGGCAAACATGAGAATACAGGTCCAAAGGCTAGGACCATATCCAATCTACTTGTCCTAACTTCTAAGACCCTAGATAGCTGGGACCAATGTTGGCTAATGGCCTTTTTTTATCCAGATGGTAGCTGTCTGCGTTTCCCCTTCTATTTGAACACTTGAGTTACCTAGTGAATGAAAAATCCATAAGCCATGATGTAGCAGAACTATTGTTGCTCCTATGATGTCCCGTGAAGCATATGTCATTGTAAAGCTCTGAAGGGGTTTCTTTGTAAAGATTTTTTTTTTGTCTATTAATGAAATTTAACATTATTCATTAAAATCCTTCTTTCCTTTTCCTTTAATATTTTTTTTCTTTTATTTTATACTAATTTTTTTTTATTCCAAGAATCTTGATGCTGCTAAAGTGGTTTCTTACAATCGTGTTGGTTGTTATGCAGTGCCCCAGTATTGTCTTCAAGGGGGACAGTTAAATCATCTCTTCCAACATCCTTAGATGATGTATCTTCTACGAGCTCCTGGAAAGCATATTCAAATGGAGAACTAACTCCAAAGCTTGAGTTTGATGATACCTCAAGCTTTGCAGCTCCATTGTTCAAGTCTTTCATGGAGGTATGCAGACCTTACTGTCCTTTAGGTGGTTTTGTCCGTATTTTTTGTCTCTCATACAATCATTGTCTTTTTTCTTGTTTTAGTTATTGATGTAGCCAAAAATATCTAGCATGGTTTAAATATTTTCTTTAGTGAAATAAGTGGCCCTGCTGATACTCTCAATTTGACTATGCCAGTAGGTGTAATATTCATGGCATTTTCTTTTTTGACACATCAACGTAAAGAATATATAAGTTAAACTCCTGATAGTTTTCTTGGAACTTCTCTTTTTAGCAGTATTCTTGTTTGTAATGAAGGCAAACTAGGGTCATATAAAAGTGGTTTAACAGTCATTTCAGAAAGAGAAATATTGAATATGTTAGAGCTTAGAAGGTCTAGCTACAGGAATATTCTTGGAAAGGGGATCACCTCTCTAGCCATATTTTGAAGAAAAGTATGAATTCCTAAAATTAGTTGTAGCAAAGGCCAATTGTTTTTCTTTTTGGAATAGCCATTGAAGGGTGTATGTGGAAAGAAGGAAAAAACAAAAAAGGAAGGAAGACCTGCTCTGATACCAAGATGTGATTCAGTCCAATAAAAATCTGTAAAATATTTTCAGATTATAACAAGGAGAGAAAAGAAGAGTTCGATGGTCTCCTCTTCCACCTCCCTTATCTTTTATTAATCTTACTAAGATTGAACAAATTACAAGTCTGCCCTTAAGTGGGCGTCCGACTCATGAACATACTTCAAAGAAAGCATAAAAAAGAATTAAAGGCCCATTAGCAAACAAAACAACTAGGAAGAACTAACAATAAGATAGTAATGGGCTAGGGCCCATTTGGCCCAGTCTCTCTACAAAGCTGGAAGTTTATGGATTATATTTTAAGGAGGCTGAATTTTGGAGAGAAGTTTAGAAATTGGATAAAGGTGTATATTTCAATTTCCTCATTCTCAGCATTAGTTAATGGAACCTCTCATTGTTTTTTTTTTGTTCGGGAGTTCTAGGGCCTTAAGACAAGGTGACTCTTTATCCCCACTACTATTTATTTGTGCAACTGAAGCACTAAGCAGAATGTAGAAAGAGATGTTCAGGTGGTCTGATGGAAGGTTTCAAGGTAGGTGGAAATGAAGTGGAGGTGTCCCTCGTGCAATTTTCAGATGACACCCTCTTTTTTTGTGATGCATCTTGGGAACAATTATAGAATGTGAGGGCTTTGCTGAAATCTCCCAGGCCAAATGGCTTGACAAATCTGTTCTATGTGAAGTGTTGGGAGTTCATCAAGCAAAATGTGCTGAATGTGTTCGAGACTTTTCATGGTAGTGCTTCCTTGCAGAGAAGTTTAAATGCCACATTTATTTCCCTCACTCTTAAAGTGGCTGGGGCTGTTAACATCAAGGACTTTAGACCTATTAGCCTTCTCAATAGTGCTTTTGTTCCTGGGAGACAGATGTTGGACAGTGTGCTTATTGCTAATGAGCTCATTGATTCTAGGAGAAGATTTGGGACACCAGACCTGATTTGCAAATTGGATATTGAGAAAGCTTATGACCATGTGAATTGGAGATGTCTGGACTTTGTGCTTGCAAGAATGAACTTTGGGCAAAAATGGAGGAACTGGATGAAATTTTGTGTTACTTCCCCTAAGTTTTCAGTTTTGGTCAAGGGACAAGTTACAAGTTCTTTGAGTGTTCAAGGGGTATAAGACAAGATCCTTTTTCCACCTTTCTCTTTATATGTCTTATGGAAATGCTTTTCCAATTCAGTAAGTTGGTTGTTTCTGATGGTCGGTGGGAGGGTTTTGAAATCAACCAGGGGGGGGAGGTGCACATGCCACAGTTTGCAGATGATACTTTGTGTTTTAATGATGCTTCTCGAGATCAGTTGGAGAGTATGCTTGGGATCCTCTGCTGGTTTGAAGTTGTTTCTAGGCTCTAAGTGAAGTTGGGGAAGAGTGTTCTTTTTCCATTGAGCCAAGCTGACTGTTTGGATGAGTTTGCTGAGGTTCTTGCCTGGCAAGTGGACCATCTCTCTGGTAAATACTTAGGGCTCCCTCTCGGGGCCAAGTGTACCTTGAGTGCTATCTAGGATCCAGAGGTAGAAAGGATGGAAAAGAAACTAGCCTCTTGGAAAGCTAAGTATCATTCCTTGGGGGGCAGACTAAAAAGTACTCTTTCAAACCTACCCACCTATTTCCTATCTCTCTTTCCCATTCCATCCAAAATAGCAAAGAAGCTGGAGTCCCTTTAGAGAAATTTTCTGTGGAGGGGTTGGGAGGAAGAAAGAAAAATCCATCTTGTTAAGTGGGATCAGGTTCGCCTTCTTGTGGAGGATGGAGGCTTGGGAATAAGGAAGTTGAAGGTTTTTAACTTTTCTCTTCTCAGCAAATGGCTTTGGAGGTTTGGTATTGAGAGGAATGCTTGGTCGAGGACCCTAATTGCATCTAAATATGGGGTGGACTGGGGTAATTGTAAATCTTTGGATCCTTTTCAGAGCTGGGGATGTTCCCTTTGGAAAGTAGTTATGAAATCCTTTCTGGATTTTTCTGGTGGCCTCTCTCTCAAGATTGGTAGGGACGATAGGTTGAAGTTTTGGAAGGACTCCTGGTGTTTAGACATCCCTCTTGCTGAAGCCTTTCTCTGCTCTTTCAATGTGCCCTCAGTCCTGATGCTTCAGTTGCTAATTCCTATGATGTGGTTGGGGACACAATCTCCTGGTGCCCCCTCTTCAGACGAAATCTTTTTGATTGGGAGATGGACCAGCTGTTGGACCTTCTGCAACTGTTACAGAGGCAACCTATCTCTGTTAATCTGGTGGATGAATGGAGGTGATGGCGTTTTTACTGTTAAGTCCTTGGCCTCAAATATGAGTAGAACAAATATTTCTGATTTCCCAAGTAAGCAGGTGTGGAATTCTGTCAGCCCATCTAAGCATAATTTTCTGGTTTGGGTGATGGCACTAAATAAGTGCTTGCCGAGAGTTAACTTGGTTAGGAGATGGGTTCAGATTTCAGATCTTAACTGTGGCCTATGTGGGCTCTTGCCAGAGAGTTGATCACCTTGGCATCCATTATTCGATCTCTGCAAGAGTTTGAGAGCATTTTCTCAAGGTGGCTGGGTTATGCCTGGTTTTGTCAAGGACCTTTTATACTGCTGGAAGTTACCTGGTCTGAAGAAAAAGGGTGTTCTGATTTGGAGAACTATTCCTGCGGCTGTTTTAGTGACCTTATGGACTGAAAGAAGCAACAGGATTTTCTGCAACAAAGTGAGAAATCCAGTGGATTTATTCAGGCAGCAATGTCTAAATTTGCTTCTTGGATGTCGGTTACTCGAGTTTAAATCTCAGAATCTGTTTCAACTGCTTTATACTCATTCTATTTGGAGTCTGTAATGTGTCTTCTTCCTGTGTGAGGGACTCCAGGAAGTTGTTGTAACATTTTCATCTTTCATCAATAAAATTATATATACACACACACACACACACGTATTTGCATACATACATATATGTAAACATATTTACATAAATGCATATATACATATATAATTTTAGAGCAGGTTCATTGACCAACTTGAGCCCGGCCTGGGCCCCAGCCCAACCCAAACGCATCAAATTACAGTGCGGGCCGGGCTCGGGTTGGGAAGATCTGGCTTTGGTCTTAAGCCCAAATTTTAGGGCCGGGCCTGGGTTGACCATAAAACCCAGCCCAACCCGCTCGACTTGCACCCCTATCTTTAGTCAAGGGGAAAAAAGTCTGAAAGGAGGAGACTGAAATCTAGTACCTTGTGAGGGAGAAGTATTATCCTAAGAAAAACATCTCCAATACAATCATAAAAAACAAAGACTTTACCCAGCGACTCTCATGGACTCTCATGGACTAACCCCCACACAGCGACTCTCATGGACTATTCCTTTTCTTCGAGTTGCTATTCCTTTTAGGCTATGGAGGTGTAGTTGTCGGAGGCTTTTGGGCCTTTCTTGGGGATGATCAAGTGAGGATACTTTATTTTTATTGTTGTTTTTCCCTCTTTGTGCTGATTTGCATACAGCTTATTTACTCTGCATATGAAAATGCGTAGAATCTATTACCCCAAAAGCATATTCAAATTTCAGTTAAATAAGCCAACCGTTTCATATGATGGTTAAAAATATCAAACGCAGTACCAATAAGAATTGATGTCAAACTTAATCGCAACTTTGCAGTCCTAGTTATTTTTCCAAGTACTGAGTTTTCTTCTCATGGCAGGTTGGTTCTAGATTTGGAGAGAGTACACTGAAACTCAGCTCCATGCTTACAGATAAACAAGTTGGGAGACTCAAGGACAAATCAGCAGCAGCCATGTCAACATTTGGTGACATACTCCCTGTCCAAGCTGCAGGTCTTCTTTCATCCTTCACAGCTTCAAGATCAGAGCCTTGATTGCTAGATGAGGTTCACTATTTTCTTCGATCAAGAAATATCTGTAATTTAGTGCAGTACCATATACTATTTTCTTCATCAACTCGGAAGATATTGTGCAAATTCAACTGCTCGGAAGTTGATGAGGAGATGGTATCCACATCCAGATGTGGTTCATATATGGAGTGATAGATACGCATACAACAAATCAAAAAGGAAGGTGAAAGAGAAGATGGAAGTTATAGACTTATAGTTGAGGATGTTGGGCCTGCAAATTGGAATGTGTCTTTGATATGGCAGTTTTATTTTGAAATTAGTGTGAAAATAGTTCAGGAATTTGGCTATCAGAAGATACATAGTTATGATACAGTCCAGCGGAAGGCCATCTGTCTGTCGTGCAAATCACTTGGATCTTATGTTTCATTGAGAGCATGCCGTTATCAGCGGAACCTTTTACCAAATACTTGGGTAGGCCTGTTGCCCCCCCCCCCCCCACTGTATGTATATTTCTTTCTTATTTCCTTTTTCTTTGTGGTCCTTTTTAATTTCTTTCTCCTTTTTCTTCCATAGGTACTACTCTTGACTCAACAATTTTATTCTAATGATTTATCTTCTAGAATGTCTATAAATCAGCAGTTTTATAGAGAAAGGGGCGGTTGTCATAATGGGGTTGGTAAAATCTTGAGGCTGCGAGGTAACATGATGCATAATTATCAGTGGTTATTTAGTGGTCTAATGCAAATAAGATATATTTATGCATCTCTATAGTTCAAAATGTATGGAAGAAGCATTTTAATAATTATGGACCAAATTAAAGAGTAAAGATGAAAAACCAAGGGAAAATCAAGTTTTATTAATTTCTCTTGGTGTTTTAGGAGAGTTTAATTCAAAAAGGACTTGTCGAGTTCTTAGTTTTTCTTGGATAAATTAAATGGAATTATTTTCATATTATTCTAAATCTAACATCCCAAGTTGGTTATTTTTCTCAGTTCTTTTCTTAATGGATTTATTTTATTTTTATTGATTTTTTTGCATAGATCAAATCAACTAAGTTGTTTCTTTTCTTCCTTATTGTTGGATGACCATAAATCTAATATCTATCATATGGATGATCCTTTATATGTTTCCTTTCTTCTAAATTGGTCATTAACATTGCATTTTGAAACACGAAAAGTAAAATGTTTATAATTATTAGTTGATTAATTATTACTTTTTTTTACTTAAAAGTTAGAACTTATTGTTTATAAACTTCTATTTTATGGATATTTGTACCTTCTATCGTTCTAACTTGGTGTATTATATGTTATTTTTATCATTTATAAACTTTAATTATTATTATTATTTTTTTAATTTTTGAGGTTTATGCCTCACAATGCCTTGTGGCTTAAGCCTCATCTTTTTGGGCCATTATGCCTCAACTATGACTTTAGCCTTTTAAAGCCTTGCTAATGCTTGCCGCATTGGTTAAAAAATACAAATCTCTTCTTCACTATCTCAACCTAGCCCCAAACAAGCTATAAATTCATAAGAAAAACAGTGGAGGACATATCCCGCCTTGCCCCAAACCCAGAGCAAAAGAATTCTCAACATCACCCTCTTATTATTCTTCCACAACATCAAGTAATGCATCAAACTAATTAATGCGCAAAGCAGGAATATTAATATAATCCTCATGGAGTTTTCTAAGGTTCGTTGGAATAAGCAACACTGACTCGTAAATTTCATAAATCATAGCTTTTATAATCAATAGCAGCATTGGCCATGAAATCAGCACATCTATTTTCTTTTCTCAAGCAACGAGAAATTGTATTTGCAAATCTCATGTTGCTAAGAATGGACTTATCTTTTTGTGGGTGTAATCAACTGTCCAAGGGTGTTAAATTGTACCTTTTTATGATCTCAACAAGAACCTTATTGTCACTTTCTAGTTCTATTTCAACAATCTCATGATGGAGACAAAGTTGGAGACCATCAAGTAGGCCTATCAATGGTGCCCGATACTCCGTGGCCCAATCCAATTATCTTGGACTCGGATGGGCTCAATATGCTAACAGATTGGATTCAAATGGAATAAATGAAATCTGATTAAAATCGGATTGAATTCGGATGTACCACATCCAATCCGTTGAAAATCCAATTCCAATTGATTTTATAATACTAAAATTATATATATCACATATATTGTACATTTTATTGTTTTGGATTTTGTAGAAGTCTGAAATACCCTGCAGTATTTTCATAACTTATCTTTCTTATCTTGTAATATATTATAATCTTAAAGGGCAAATGAGTAAATATGGCTTCCGCATTATCATTTACAATCAAGACACTCTGAAACCTAACCATAATGAGTCTCTATCTCCCTCTTTCGGTCTTTCCAACCTTTGCCACTATGAAGAGTGAAGTTTGTCGCCTACCGTCTGCTTGTCTCCTATTCCATTCGTAGCCTCTTAGGCGCCTAGGCGGTGAAACCGTGAATCGTAGTGTTACCCTTTTTATTTCCATGTTGCGGTGTTGCCGCTATTATTCGCTATTTTCCTTTCTAGGGTGCTACCGGACTACGGCTACAACCACTTGTTGTTACTATCTACTATATATATATATATATATATATATATATATATTGGTTGACTGAGTTAAGCGCAGCTTTTTTTTTTCCACTTCATCACTATGCATAACGGCCAATTCAGACATGACAGAAGAACATTTAAGCAAAATATATATATATATATATATGCATAATTCGTTTTTCACTTAAATCTATATATGCATAATTCACAAAATACCCTAACTGAGAATCCACAACTAAGATGATGTTTGGCATCGTTGCCTTTTCCTGGAGCAACAGTGCTACATCAGCACCATATTGGAAAAAATGGTGTTCCAGGAAACAGACATTTGTTTAGAATTGTTTTTTCATAAAAAATGGTGCTCCAAGCCACACCTCAGAAATCAGGAAGTCATGGCTTGGAGCAACATTAAATTTGGCGTTTCCTGGAGCTGCAGTTCGTTGCTATCAACATGGCAGTGATGTGGCACTGGATAATGGGTACCAGTGCTGAAAATGTTTCCTGGAGTATTGGTACCAAATAGAAAAAGTTTCTGCTGCTCCAGGAAACATCCTACCTGGCAGCAGCGATTCCAAACAAAAATAAAAGCACGTGCTTCCAACCATACATCAGCAGCACCGTTTTCTAAGAAAAAGATGCTGTAATTGCAGCATCGATACCAAACATATATTAAGATTTTAATAATTTGTTGAAGACAAATTGCTTCATATGAGTAATGGAAGTTTTGAGGTGAACTGGTTTTCTGTTTTAAATCTACTTGTTTTGTGAGAGTGGTGATTTGGTTGTTATGAAGCTTCTGGTTTTCTGTCGTAGGGATTGATTGTTATGAAGCTTCTGGTTTGTATCATTAGTTTGAGATTGGATTAGCTGTTTTACCAATGATAACGAGGTTGAAGAATGTCAGAATGATTTCAGATTGTGTACATCAGATCAGGTTCGGATGAAATCTGAGATCCGGTGAATTCGATTGGGAGTTCAATTTGAATATGCCTCTTATACATCCAATTGGATATTAGGTCGAACTCGGATTTAGGTACATCCAATCCGTCCGATCTGATTACAGGCCTGCCATCAAGAAAAACCAAAAATTCAGCCTTGAAGTTGCATACCCACATTACTTATAAAATGCAAAGTAGAAGGTTCCAGAGGCAACCTTAAACATATATTGCATAAGAAACTTCCAAGATACCCATCCAAGTCTTTTTCTACTAATTTCTTTAATTGGAATATTAAGAATTTGGAGCACTAAGAATTTGCCAATTTGAAGCACGTAGTTATTAATCCCAGCATTTTTAGGAGTTTTCGAAAGATTAGTAATCTCAACAAGCCACCTTTTTACTTTATTAATTACCATATTAGAGTGGGACCCGTTGCTATCAAGTATATAATACATTTCGTGTGGAATGGATGATGGTTCTATCCTAAATGCCTAGGGATGGCAATTTTTCCCATCCCGGCGGTAGGGCTGTTCATAAGAAGGCCTAATCCGACCAAATTGATCAATTCGGACCGACCTAATTCGAGTCGGCCAGGTTTTTATTAGCATGGGTCGGTTTTGGATTGTGCAAATTCCTAAATCGATGATTTGGGTAGGTTTCGATTTTTACAAAAGAAAACCGAAACCAACTCGAACCGAACCAACTTAGTTCCTAATTCAAACATGAAGTTCCAAAGCCCATTAGGCCACCTAGTTTTTGAATGGTTGCATGAAACTTTGGACTAGTGAATAGTGATTAATGAACAACTTTTGTGATTAACTTTTCATTTAAATTTTATCATAGGAGATGGCTGAAATGATGTTCAATTTATGACTATTTTTAAAATTAGCATGATTTTATCACAGGGATGAACTTAGAACTGAAACCGACCCAAACCGGCCCAACTCGACTCAAACCGACCAGGTCGGTTTTGCTTAACACTGGATCGGTTTCGGTTTCTATGTCAGGTAACCTGACCAGGTCGGGTCGGTTGAAAAAACCGCAGTAAACCGACCCAACCCGACCCGTGAACAACCCTACCCGACGGGGACCCAACTTCCCCAACTCAATGGGATTGGGGATAGGGATTGTTTTGGCGGGGCAGGGACGGGAACGGGGATTAATAGGAATTCCCGATTGGGGTCGGGGTCAGGGATGGGGATTGAGGTTTCCGGCCCGCCCCGACCTCAATTATGTATATATATTATTTATATTATATATATATATATATATCAAAACATATTAAAAAATTTATTTATAATTTATAATTTTTATTTATTTTAAGTAAATTGATTTTTCAAATAAATATTGTTATCTTAAAAAAACTGGAGATTCGGGTCCTTGCGGGGAACCCATCCCTGTCGGGGATCAGGGATAGAGGACAAATTTTATCCTCGGCGGGTATCAGGGATGGGGACAGGGGTTACTTCTAGAATTAGGGTTGGGATGGGGAATATCGATTATGATCCCCACCTCAAACCTGCTCCGTTGCCATTCCTATAAATGCCATGGCTGAATATGAGATTGATGGCTAGAAAAAGCCCATGCACTTGGGCTGTGTTTGGTTTGAAGGAAAATGTAAGGAAACGAAATGAAACGAAAGAAAATTTGTACACATCTTGTATGGGTTTCCCTGTCTTTCCTTTCTTTTCCCTACCTTTTGCAAGTTAAGAGTGAAGAAATAATTCCCAACCAGTTTAGAACATAAAACATAATGATAAAGTTGTGAAAAATCTAAGAAATTATGAGAAAACCGAAAAGTCATATATTATGCCAACTTATGCAATGTATCCACATGTATTGATTGGCATAAAATTGTATCCACCAATATAATGTGATGCATCACAATACACTGTTGACACAAGTGTAACAAATCCAGTCATGCCATGTGACCATGTCTTTGGATATCGATATAATATGCGTGTAGATATTTTGAACCTTACTTCATCGGCTTTCAATTTTAGAAAAGTGGGCTACCTATCTTCTATAAAAGAACATCTTGATAGTGACTCTTTCCACTCTCTCAAAAAAAAAAAAAAGTGAGTAATTAACTCCACTCTTAAAATAAGTACTCACCTTAGACATGTGGTTAATTATCAAAAAATATTACCTACTTCAAATGATGCGAGTACTTTCTTTAATTCAATTTCTTAATTCAAATAAAAAACGAACCATAAAAAACTTTTAATGATATGGATCCCATTTCATTTACATGAAATAAGTCATTAATTGTTGGGGTCGCATCTTAGTTT